TCGATTTGAAATTGAGAGACGAAAAGGCAACCAGGATGTGTGAACAGTAATGTTGCAATAGCACGTCAGTCACAGCGACCCTGATTATTGTCCGATCGTCGTGACACTTCGCCTTTCCTTTTCGCTTGCATTTCAATTCGCGGGTAAAAATAGATGACCTGAGCGGTTTATTTTTAGACCTGCTATACACGTAAACAGGTCGTTATGGATAGGGGGTATACACGTAAACAGGATGTTATAGGAGGGATAAGAGCTCACCACGAACACAACTGTCAATGACAGCGAGATAGTGTTTGTCACAGCGAGAAACTGTTAGTGATAGAGAGACGCTGTTAGTGACAGAGAGACGCTGTTGGTGACAGAGAGACACTGTTAGTGACAGAGAGACACTGTTAGTGACAGAGAGACGCTGTTGGTGACAGAGAGACATGACAATATTATCTGGACTCGTGGTGGACGGACAGAGGGTCAGAGGTGAGTGAAGTAGATTCACTGTATTTCTTGAGGGGCGGTGGTGTAGCTCATCACTCCAATGTCCAATTTCGAATCCCACATGGGTACATTGTGTGAAGTCAAGGCAAGGGCACTTGTCATTCCCAAATACTACAGTATTTCAACAGCAGCTCAGATCGGTAGTCGGTGAGGGCGGAGGTAGGAGGGGGCTGGCTGGGGTAGGGTATCACTTGACAAATATACACGATTATGTCAATGTAAGGCGAAGGGGTGGGGCGCTTGACAACACATGATTATGTCAATGTGAGATGAGGTGAAGGCGCTTGTGGCCTATCTATTTGAGAGTATGTAAGTCCTCACGTTTTAAATGTTTGGATACCCAGTGGTATATGTTTATAATGTTTATTTTTTGGTTGTGATGTGTTATTTGGATCCCATTTGCTTTTCAGTTGGGGGTGTTTACTTTTTTTTCTTTATGGTTTATGTCCTCCCTGACATATATGATCAGACCACCATCTGCTCTACCTGGGCGAGATTGGACTCTGTCGACTCTTACTGAGTTATCATTTTGTAGGGTGAATTTTTTTTTAGAAAAAAAGTGGGTTACCTGAAAGCATATGATGTGAGGACTTGAGTTATGTCTAAATTAAGTTTTTAGTTCATGGCCGTGGGAGGCCAAACAAATAGAATTCCACTGTAGTGGGGGTGAGGGTTTGTGATTAAGAGTTGTTTTTTATTTCAAAATTGCGGTGGGTTGGGTGGCCCTTGGAGGATAAGATGGGTGCCTTGCGAGCTGGTTTGCTTAAAGGTGTAGATGTTATGGCGTTGTCAGTGTTGGAGAACTCTGTGATCAGAGATCTCCTGGGTACTGGAGGAGAGGTTCCAAGAGTTGTGCAACCAGGTAAACCCATCGGACCTTGGAAATAGACCCCGAAAAATGCTATGAAAAACGCAAAAGCACATTCAACAAAGCCAAACGAAATCTCTCACATTTACAGAGAGCTCACCAACTAAATCACGAAGTATCAAACGATGCAAAAAACACCAAACATTAATAATTCAACAAATCAACAGAAAGCAAACAATCTAGCGCAACCACGTCTCAGCAGTTACCAGCAATAGTAACTTCAGCGTGGAATTCCAAAAACAATAAAAAAAACTTGGTAACTAGATACACAAAGGATTTAAACACACTCCGCTGCCTGGTAGGGTCCAATTAGGGGGTTCCAGAAGACCCTACTATCCCACTATACATCTCTCATTAGATCAAAATTGGACTACGGATGCGCAATATACAATACTTTAAACAAAACACTGAACGATAAGCCAAATACAATCCAATATCAAACCTTGAAAATAATCACACGCACAAAGCATGGTACACCACTTACGGCACTACATGCCCTAACAGCCGAAATCCCCCTGGATTTTCGCCGTCAACAATTAACAATACAATTCTGGACGTCTACCCAGTGAAACACCCAAATTCAACAAATCCTTAGAAATAATAAGTCTGAGAATTCAAGCGTTCGCTCGCAAAAACCCACTGTGAACCCCAATATCATAACGCACACTAGATTACTTAAACCTACACAACCTAAACGACTTAAAACAAAACACAAAACCAAACGACATCTTCACACCAAAATCTCAGCCCCCCAAAACATATAGACAAAACACTCTCCTCCAAAATAAATGAGGCAGCTAGTCCAAACACCGCCCACACCAACACACTAGCATATATACATGAAAAATGGCCAAATTGGCGCCACATTTACACAGACGAGTCCTCTGACACGGGCTCAAACCAACCAGGATTCGGCATCCAAATTTCCCAACCCACAAACGAAACTAAATCCTATAGGCTCCCAAACAACCAATCAATCTTCACGGCCGAACTTATGGGGATGGCTACAGCCTTACAAATCCCCCAAATTAAAAAACAAAAAAATCCTAATTTTAACTGACTCGTTAAGTGGACTACAAGCTATTAAAAGCAAAAACACAAAAATATCGCCCTAAACTAAAACATCAACTACTTAAAAGTTCCAACCAACTCAGTAAAGTCGACAAACAAAAAGATTTCTTATAGATCCCTGCCCACGTCGGAGTGTTCGGAAAAGCAGCCCTTAAAACTACCAGGAGTTAGCCTTAATTTACCAATATCCAAAAACAAAATAAAGAGCTTCACTAAGGGAATTCTTTTCGAAAACTCAAACTGCAGACTAAAACATATACTCCAAAAGCCCCTAAAAAACTAAAGACTGATCATAAATCCCAAAGTATTGACAGGGCAATAATTAATTTACAAACAGGTCACACAAAACTGAACTCATATCCCCTTAAAATAAAGAAACACGAAACAGGTAAATGCCCACACTGCAGCCAACTAGAAACACCAGAACACGTACTACTACACTGCACACACTACAATCTACACAGAACAACACTCCAAACACCACACATCCACATCCTCTCTCAGACCCCCACTTTAAACACCCAAGTTTCCAAATTCCAAACTTCTCAAACATGAAAAAAAGCAGCCCTAACGCCCCCAGGTTGCCTCACCTGGCATTATGAAATACGCATAATGTCGGAAAGCACATGTTAAGTCTCCAATTTTCCTCCTTTTAACAAACACGTGAGATTATTTAATTTTCCACGTGATCAAGATAAGTTGACTATCTGCCTATAATACTCAATAAAGTCATCATTAAGTAAACTATTCGTGACAAATTTATCTGTTTTTATCTGGAATGTATTTACTGATCCTTATTCAATGATCGAATGCAGGCATCACATACATATAAACGCTGGTACAGTGAAAATACAGCCACGCATCGGTAATTGTTATTACGTGGTAGTAGTTGGAAGTAGTTGGGGTCTTGAGGATATGCGCGAGTTCCTGTTCAAGGAAGCATTATGACGTCCTAGCACCGACGGGTAAACATCCAGCAAACAACACGGGGCATTGAAATCAAGTGAGGTATTTTACAGCAATTAGAGCTTAAGTATATGTTTTACGTCGCACTAAGTGTTGCTTGTATACCTTCGCGGTATGCGGATGTCGATGGACCATCCTAGTAGTTAACTCGCCACGCTGGAGGCCTGCACACAATGTGTCATGTTCATTTCCGGTGTCCCCAGACGGGACATTTCTGGAATACTCTTACAAGCAGTGTAAACCTATAATCTGTCAGTGATCCACATCGTAGGGTTCGTTGACACGGCTGTCTGCAGGTTTTGTGGGGTGTTTACACTCGGGAGCCATTTTAACCATCTGTTCCCCAAATAGGTCACGTGATCAGACATTTTATAATGTCAATGCAAAGAAATATAGTTACTTGTGTACACAGCTTTAATTGTAGGGTAATATATGGCCTGGAGCTGATCTGTTTGGGGAGGTTCCTGTTTCTTAATGCAGTGGGTTTTATAACGACGACAATTTGTTTAGGTTACTGGCCGTCTGCTGTATCAGATTGTATTATCAGCAGTGTATTATCTTCCCTTCACTAATCCAATAGGTGCGCTGACCCACTAGGATGTATTAGAGATCATAGCTGAAGTGTTCTAATGTTTTATAAGTGGTTTTATTAATTCATTGTAGGCAGATGGTATGAGGTATCCTTCATCTATGTTGATTGAACTGCTGCTGCTAGTTTTCGTTTGGTGGAGTCATTGAGATTGCTTGATAGGATTTGTACATTGTCCCACCAGATATTGAGATTAGGGCACTGTGATGATGTGGTCTGAGATGGCTGATTTGTGGTCTGACTTTGTGGTAGATGTTTTATGTTCTTTTATTCTGACGTTTATGTGGAATGAAATTTCACCTACATAGGCGTTGCCGCAATCACAGCTGATTTTATAGACACCTATAACAGGTTCGTGTTGTTTCCAAGTGTTCCTGCCATTGGCTATTAGTAGGGTGTTAAGAGGTGTAGAGCTGGGAAAGTATGTTTCAGCGCCGGATGTCTGCTTCAGGTGGCAGCTGATGTGGTAGGTTGTTCTTATGTTGGGGAAGGAGATTCGGATTGGTGCTTGCTCAGGTTTGGGGCAGGTTAAGATGATGCTAGGTGGAGGGTGTGGAGTAGCCTTGGTGGGTGGTGGTTGAAGTGGGTGAATACATGGCGGAGGTGTTGAATTTTTTATGTAGGTCTGGCGGAGAAGAGGTTGATGGCTCGTCTGGTGAAGGTGGAGATCATGTCGGTTTGGATTTTCCGGAGATGGTTGGAGTTGAAATGAATGAATGTATATATTGGTCAGGGTTGGTTGGCTTTCTGTAGCCAGTGGTTTGGATCTGGTTGGGTGGGATTCTGGTAACGGATACGTCGAGAACGGGAAATTTTTCATTCTTCTCAGTTTCAATGGTACACTGGACACACTAATAATGTTTAAAGCATCGCATCAGCATTACACATTCTGACAAATACCTATTACCATCCAATAACTGACTTTATGGAAACGTTAACCACTATGATAACTTAGAATAGAAACCAACGTTGTGTGTCTTTGCATTTGTGATATTTCAACCTACTGTGTTCCAGTCCCCCTAAAGAGTGTTGACATATCAGTGAGTATCCACGGTTTTCTGGCGAATGTCAACGCAAGCCTCGGCTACCACAATGACCAGCCCAACACCATCGAGGTTGTCTACGTCTTCCCGGTGGACGACAACAGTGCCGTCTACAAGCTTGAGGCAGACATCGACGGTAGACACATCGTGGCTGAAGTTCAAGAAAAAGAACAAGTAAGAGAACACAAAAGATGCACCTATTAATACGTTAACACTCCATCATTACTCAGTCATCTTGTATCAATGTGACCATTTAGTGTTATGAAACCCATCATCAATGATTGTTCTATTCTGTAGGCTCGGGAAACCTACAAAAAAGCTGTAGCTTCTGGTCGGTCTGCTGTGTTGATGGAGGAACATGATGCTTCAGGAGACATCTTCAGGTGCAAGCTGGGTAATCTCCCCCCAGACTCGGACGCCAAACTCCAGTTTTCCTTCGTCACGGAGCTGGCCCAGGAGACAGATGGGTCTCTCAAGTTTGTTCTGCCGACGGTTCTCAATCCCAGATATAATCCCAGCAAGGAAGGTAAGGCACACATCACAGTAGTGTAAACATATTCTGATCAGTTGCAGCAATTATTCCATATATTGGTAAAGCAACTGGACATTTCTGTTTTTATAACAGGACGTTTCATGAATGTGCCTGGAATTTTATAATTTTAAAGATTGAAGTTTGGGTGGGTATGATTGTCACCGCTCTTGGTATTATTGTTGCGACATGATATGGTGTTGTCAGATATGTTGTTGTTACGTGATGTGGTATTGTCAGATATGTTGTTGTAACATGATGTGGTATTGTCAGATATGTTGTTGTAACATGATGTGGTATTGTCAGATAAGTGGTTGTAACATGATGTGGTATTGTCAGATATGTTGTTGTAACATGATGTGGTATTGTCAGATATGTTGTTGTAACATGTGGTATTGTCAGATATGTTGTTGTAACATGATGTGGTATTGTCAGATATGTTGTTGTAACATGATGTGGTATTGTCAGATATGTTGTTGTAACATGATGTGGTATTGTCAGATATGTTGTTGTAACATGATGTGGTATTGTCAGATATGTTGTTGTAACATGATGTGGTATTGTCAGATATGTTGTTGTAACATGATGTGGTATTGTCAGATATGTTGTTGTAACATGATGTGGTATTGTCAGATAAGTGGTTGTAACATGATGTGGTATTGTCAGATAAGTGGTTGTAACATGATGTGGTATTGTCAGATATGTTGTTGTAACATGATGTGGTATTGTCAGATATGTTGTTGTTACGTGATGTGGTATTGTCAGATATGTTGTTGTAACATGTGGTATTGTCAGATAAGTGGTTGTAACATGATGTGGTATTGTCAGATATGTTGTTGTAACATGATGTGGTATTGTCAGATATGTTGTTGTAACATGATGTGGTATTGTCAGATATGTTGTTGTTACATGTGGTATTGTCAGATATGTTGTTGTAACATGTGGTATTGTCAGATATGTTGTTGTAACATGATGTGGTATTGTCAGATATGTTGTTGTAACATGATGTGGTATTGTCAGATATGTTGTTGTAACATGATATGGTATTGTCAGATATGTTGTTGTAACAAGATGTGGTATTGTCAGATAAGTGGTTGTTACATGATATTTCTTCTCACTTGGATTCCCAAATATCAGCGTCTGCAAACACGTTTTTTGAACCATTTACCAGAGTCACTTCATTTCAAAACTTCATACACATGTATGTTTGATTATTTGTCGAACAGACAACATTTTGAATATTATAACAATGTTTATGTCTCCTACCAAACACTCCCTGCCTACCGTGTTTCAAACCACATCCCCCTTAAAAGGCCGCCTACATTTCGCTGGAATATTGCTGATTTCACAAGACAAACAAAACAAACACATGTTAAATCAGCTTGGTTGCTTTATTTGCTTTCTCTACTAATTATAAGAACACCCGATCAAAACGTTAGAAATTAATCTTTCTAACGTATTTTAGAAAGAGCTCTGTACTTGCTTTTACTTTTCATCTAAAATAATCAGTTATTTAAAAGACATTGCCAATCATTTTCGATTAGAGTACAAACACTTCTGAATTTTTCAAATCAAATGTCACAAAGAAGTAATTTTTATGCCTGTGTCAGACGTTCCCCGTGTCAGGCACTCAGTGATAATGGTTGATAGTTTTATGACATCACCATGCCGTTTCAGATGGTGGCACGGATGAAGACACGTCATTTGGTAATATGAATCCCTGTCTGTATACACTGGACTTCAACGGCACGGTCACGTCAATCCAGGATATTGCCAGAGTGTGGTCCGACTCAGACAAACTTCTCACATCACTAACAAAAGGAGCGGTGAACATAATGAAGGTACTTGAAACATTTTTGAAATGTTGTTAATATGTTTCGACGATGACGTCTATTACTTTTAATCTAGACTAATTATTATTACCTCTATGGGGAAATTTCGGCATTCTTTCTATACCTTGCTTAATGCTTGGACATCGGGATTAAATAGAATTAAACGCAATCAGGACCAATCCTGAGTACCCTCTCCATTAACGATAAGAATACATTATGATTTTATCTGTGTGCATTAAAATGACAAATAATTAGACCTAGCAATCGTGTTTCAGATTGGACTCGCTGATACGTTTCGGTTAAACCACAATTTGTCCTTCTATGTGTTGTATGAAGAGGCAAACAAACCAAAACCTACCCTAGAGAAAGGAAACAAAGGTACTGGATTCTTTCAGATGTATTAGCCAGTTATTTAGCAATATTTCAGCAACACCAAGTCGAGTGCACCATGGATGGATTGCACACATTGTGCCCATATGAGAATCGAGCTCGAGTCTTAAGCCTGACGGGCCAACGCTTATGTTTGCTGTTGCCGCTTAATGCCTCATGCAGCAATGTTCTAGCTATATGACCCCGATCTGTACATAATCAAGTCTCGACAAGTCAATCCAGTGACCGATGTTGTGAACATCGATCCACACAATTGGGATGCAATGAAATGCAATCAACCATGTCTCTGAGCATGTCCTCCCGATTCGCTCAGGCGCCTTTTGCGACAAGCATAGGTTGCTGGGGACCTATATTCTTACCCGAAAACTCCAAGGGTTGCCAACGGCTTAAGCACTACTGATCTTAAATCATAGGGAAATAGTCCATGTGGGTCATTTGTGTCTTTGCCACATGTAAGTGATGTGCCATCATGGGCTTTGGTAAGATTTTTTGCAACAAAAAGTAGGGGATCTAAATATGGGAATCGATACCGGGACTTGACAGTACATCTGTGTCATCCTGTCACCCACACTATGTTCCTCACATAATAGAAATGGTTCTTTTTAAACTATATTGAATTTATATGGATTCATGTTGATTATCAGAGAAGCCAGGAACACTGATGGACTTGGACCTCCTGATGCTGTCATTCTATCCAGATCTCACCGTCACAGCTAAACATACAGTCAAGGCCGAGTTTATCTTCATCATTGACAGATCAGGTCAGATTTCAATGTCATCATTGACACGACAAGGTTTAAATGCTAAAACCACTCATCAGTACTGTTGTTATCTTTTGCCTTGACTAAAAAACCTGACGACATGGACATTACTCTTTTGTACCGGATTCCTTAGCTCCATAATATTCCGGATAAATATCATGTGGATTCTAAAAAAATCAAAGGATTTGAAATTTTGCAATCTGTGAAAAAAATTCAAGTATTTCAAAACATTTGATTTTTCAACTTTGCTCACTCCACTCCAACACGACAAACAAAAGGGGGAAAATCATTCTTTGATCCATGGGACATTTTTAATTAAACATGGTGACCATTGTTATAGTTACATCCCTGTCTTCCAATGTTCAGGACAATTTGTCAAAAATGCAAGCAAATGTCATTTAGAGTTTACTAGAAAAGAATATGTGAAATCCCGGACCTCTTCATTGATAACATCTATGTAATATTTGAAGGTAAGAAGGCGAGAAGCTGGCATCCGCGTGGGCACCACTTGTGCTCCCATGATTGTGCTCCTATGATTGTGCTCCAACTGATCTGTCTCAGTATGAATTTCTGCTCGGATTGGCATAATCAAAACAAGGGAATATGATCAAAAACGTAAGCTTCAGGTATATCGATGATCTGATATAGTTCAATTTTGATCAAATAGCGAATTCCCTTCCGCTGATTTACCCACCCGAACTTGAAAATAAATGATAGTAGTGAAGCTGCATCGTCTGTATCTTCAGAGTGACAACAGTTCTGTATGTATGACACGAGGGATGACTTCAACTTTCCAATAGTCAACATTCCCTCTTAAGACTCTTACTCACACGTTGCTTGGTCAGGGTTAAAACATTCAAGGCCTCATTCAAAACGTTTTATGTGGAGTACATTTTCAAATTTGACGCGTCCGTGACAAGAATAATGTCCGATGCAATTCCATATTTTGACTTATGTTCCCGTGTTTTCTAAGCTGAACAATTTTGACTGAACCTTACATGCGTTTGTCATCCGTGTCACCGGCTAGGCTGGATACGCTCACCTTTTCGCAAACACTCATTACTATAATTACTATATTATAGTGATTCATAAACACATGTTTATGATAATGTACATAGCTTTCTCATAATTATGGAAAATATTGTCGCATTTATTCATATATGGCTAAACAGGTGGGAATGCTTGATGCATGTCAAGATGATTCAAGACAATGAAATAATTACAACCCTTCTTTATTGCTGTTTCTGGAAGCATCTTTAACGACAAATTATGCAGTTGGACAGACACACAATTATTAAAAATGACGGAGTAGTGTATCCTCCAAATATAGACTTATTAAGCTTATTATACCAGGCAGTATGATGGGCACGCCAATCAAGAGCGCCCAAGAGTCGATGCTGTACTTTCTGAAGAGTCTTCCCGTAGACTGCTACTTCAACGTCATCAGCTTTGGTTCCAGCTACGGGGCCCTCTTTCCAAAGTAGGTTCCATGTACGCCTTCGATGACCCAGCAGCACTGCAACCTAATCATATAGCCCTTTAACTGATCGAACCTGGACCAGACACACCAATAGATAATATGTGATGTGGGTTTGCATCCCTGATTCTCCCTCATTATGGTTCCATGTTTGTCAGCATCACCCGTGCTCGTGGGTGTCACCAAAGTCATACACGTCAGAGGCCTACGTCACATCAGGCTTTCCACCATCATGCTGAGATTCCGTGATGTAACTGAAACACTGTTTAAGGCGGCGTTATCCTCACCCATCTACGCACCCGGGCCCTCGGGGTATAATCCCCATTTCAGATGGCTCCTTCAACAAGCGTGATGAACTGGAAACATAATCTGTCCCTGATTGCCCACGGGATATACGATCCAAAAAGAATTCACCAAATAACCGTGTTATCAGAATGATTGCAGATTTTGTAGTTTTGTTTGTGTAAAAACAGGTCTTTTTTATTAGAAAGCACTAAATACACATGAGATATAAAATCATTGTCATTCTCATTTGCATGTAAACATATATGAAATATAATGTTCATCCAACAGTTCAAAATATTTTTCATCAGCCAACATGTCTATGACAGACAAATCTAAAGAAAATAATACATATTATTATTCACACAAGGGGCAGCGAGCGTTACAGTAAGGAATCTCTGACGAAGGCAATGGTTCTACAGGCGAGTCTGGAAGCAAACATGGGAGGCACTGAAATTCTGAGACCTCTGGAGTTTGTTTTCAGAAAAAATGCACCTCATGGATACTGTAGACAGGTGAGATATTACAAGGAAGTCCTGGAGTGAGTGAGTGAGTTGGGTTTAACGCCGCTTTTAACAGTATTCCAGTTATATCACGGCATGTCAGTTCATGTGGGAGGAAAGCCCGAAGTGATGCAGGTCTCAGACGTTTACCACTTCGGTGAAACCCACGAGCACGGGTATGGTGCTGACAAACCTAGAAACATATTCGGGGTGAACCGGGATTCGAACCCACAACCATAGGTTTCTGGGGTGCCCAAGGGACGCAACTCTGCACAGCGAATCGCGGCGCCTTCGACGACTGGGCCACCCGTGCCCCCAGGTGGTCTTAGAGTAGTCTTGTGTCATACTGTATCAACACATTTGAAACTACTTCCTTAGTCGTTTATTTATGCATGCCTATGCCAACTGTTGATAGCAATATCTTCCTTATTGCCATTATGGAGTCATTGACGTTAATCTTGTGTTCATGCATATTTATTCATGCATGCAAATGTCACACCACTGAAATATATATGTAAAATGGCATTTGCCGCTTGACCGAAAATACAAATAAATTATTTTCTATCTCTTGCAGATTTTCCTGTTGACTGATGGGGACGTCTCTAACGTGGATGAAGTCATTTCACTTGTGAAACGAAACTCTTTTGATAGCAGGTAGGCACTACATACGTCGTTTCTCTACATATAATAATTACCATTAAGGTACTTACACATGCTGCTACACAACATTGAGATTAGGAATATGTGAGAAACAAAGTGTTTACGGCCGTTTTGAAAGATTTTCAGTTATAATTATATGACGACTTTCAATGAAATTCAAAATGACGCAGGTCGTATATGTTCAGCACTTTTGTGAAACCCACGAGCGTGGTTATGTCATTGGAACACATATAGGTTCATTATTAGTTGGGGATATGGTTATAGAAGCCCCGCCCTACGGAGTCTTGTACTTGCAGGGCTAAGGACCATCAAAACATTAGAAAATCCATCACATATTCCTTTCTTTGTTGTCAGAGTTTTCACAGTGGGTATCGGTGATGGAGTGTCCACGTCGCTGGTGCGGAACGTCGCCAAAGCCGGTGGCGGTGAGGTGGAGTTTGTCACGGGAACAGACAAGCTGCAAGAAAAGGCATGTTCAAGCTGACAATGACAAACTTAACTGTAATCCTCTTTGGACAGAATCATTTCATACATTTAAACATTACATTGGTCCCGTATCAAATATAAACTAATGTCTAAGAAGATATACCAAGAGTTTGAAAGACTATGAAAGACAACAAAAGCATTCAGAAAGTAATATGTGTATATATTTCATTAGAGTTGTGTTTTAACATAATGTTTAATACTGCTCGTGATTAGAAATACGACTTTACGACTGACTGAGACACAAAGACACATGGGGGTCGAAAATGACACGTTTCACAATATCATCGTCACATCACTTGTTGAACATGACATTTATATCTCTGAAAGCACATATAAAGCTAAATTTATAATATACACAAAGAAATAGGTTAAGCACACCCTAATATATTTCATTATTGTTTGGTCCCAATATTTGTAACAGTCATGAAAGATATAATTACGGGAAGAATTATGTTTTCTCGAGATGATGTAATCAGTCATGCGTGACGAAAGCTCACGTGTCGTGCGTAGTATGTCCGTGCAGCATGCTAACCTCGAGTATTTTAAAAGCAGTATATCCAAATTGCTTTCGTAAGCTCGGTTTTAAACGGTTATTCCATGACATTGTGTGACCATGGCACGAAGGCGATTATCAAACGCCAAAAGATGGCAAATAATCGCCATGCATAACGCAGGAATGTCTTGTAATGCCATGGGTCGGAATTTGGGGTAGCATCACACTGTCGTAAGCCGTTTAGTCGAGAAACATGCCCAGACCGGTGATGTACAGAACCGTCCCAGATTCGGAAGACCTCCTCTGACGACACATCGCGAAGACAGGGACCCTCTTCGTCTCATACGCCGAGAGCCCTTTTTAGCAAGTACTCGTCTGAAACAGCTGTGGTTGCCCAATCGTCGTTTCAGCACCAGAACCGTCAGGAACCGACTGAAAGCAGCAAGACTGAGGGCTAGACGAGTCATAAAGCGTCCCTTGTTGAGAGATCATCACAGAGCTGCTCGTTTAGCATGGTGTATTGCGCGACACAACTGGAATCTGAGAACTTGGAGACGGATCCATTGGTCAGACGAAAGTCGCTTTCTGCTCCACGTCACTAATGGATGAACGACTTTCCAATATCTTCCTTATTTGTTGTCAAATGTTTGTTCTATCCGATGACATTGGTATCGCCCAGCTCATGTGGTCAGTCATCCCATGCCATGATTTTTGCCAATATGTACCGATATGTTCAGATATAGGGGTGTGCTTAACTTTTTTCTTTGTGTATATAATGAATGATAACGAGCCTCTTGTTGGCATCACCACAGATACTTCCCCAGATCATGCCCCTCCCGCCTCCAAATGGTTGAACTTATTTGGCGATTAACGTTCACCTACTCGTTTGTGTACTCTCTGCCGATTATCATTTCTGTACCAGCAATATCTACTCTCGGAGAACATGGCGCGTCCCCAGTCTCGCACTTGCCATCGTCGAACACGCCTGGCCCATGCCAATCTATTACGTTACGTAGGTGTTGACGTGTTAACATAACTGCGGTATGGTCGACGTGCTCTTATACCACGTAAGTCTCCTATACAGTGTCTCTCGACTGATCCTATGTCCCAGTGCCGTCGCTGCCGTTGCCGTTGCCGTTGCCGTCGCTGTAATGAAGCAGTTTCGGAGAAGAATTGGCGTGGTCCCCAGGGTCTCCCGCGTCTACGCCTGTCTGATGTCCGTGCTGTCTGTTGTAAACGTTACATCAATCTGACAATGATGACATGATTGCATCAAAATGTTCTTGCAGCAATGGCGGCGTGCGTGGCTTTCCCTCTGTATAGCTGTTAAACGTGGCATATTGTCTTGGTGCTTTTGGTTGATGTGTTCATAACGGGCCGTGTCACCAGTTTTATACAGTATTTTTGAACGTGCATTTCGATTTTTACAGCGTCAATTCAACGTCCACAGGAAACCTGTGTGGCAATTTTCGCGACGTTATCAACAGCACAATCACGTCATACCGTCCAAGACGTTTCCGCCCTCTCGTAACACCCACTCACCAAGGTATGGATTCAAACCCGGATTACGGGATGGCATTTTGCTAAGGGTCGTTTTTCTGCTTTTGCAACAACGGCAATGGGGTGACAAACACGATAACGCCAGTTGTGCAGCAGTATCTGACACAACACAATGTTAATGTGTTACCCTGGACTGCAAAATCCCCAGATCTGTTACCAAAAAAACAACTTACGGACCCTCCAACAACATTGCAGGAGATCATTGTCCTGGTGACCTGAGAGTAAGGCCTGCATCATTGTACAAGGTGGACGCTCTCGCTTCTGTGTGAACCTGCCTCTGACCCCCTCGTGTGACATGACACATTAGCATATTGGCAGGACCGTACTTCCTGTGGACTGGTGCTCGTTGCCATAGCTCCTGACGCTGTCCTTTTCATGTGATATGATTCCATCTGAGTAAATGTTTTTGACCGATTCCTTTTGTTTTTTGTATGTCACAATAACCTTTGACTAAAATGTTTAATGTATCTTTATCCTGGTAAATCAGTAAATTATCTGTAACCTAGAAAAATCTTAAAGTTTTACTTTTTCTACATCAATGAATATGTCTGCTTATTTCCAAGCACTATACTTTCATGCTCAAGTACCTCGCATATAAAGATGAATAAAGACGAGATTGCAGTAACCTATTTCTATTGAATTTCTATTTTAATATCTTTTAGGTGATGAAGCTCTTAAAGTACGCTCTTCAACCCGCTGTGACCGACCTAGACCTTGTTATTGACCTTCCAGCTGGACTTGAAGTTGCCTTCAGAATTCCCTACACGATTTCAACTATTTTCAGTGGGCAGAGACGCACTATGTATACATTTCTCAAGGGTCAGGTAAATGAATGGTCAATGTTTATCGTTGTACATAAATGAGTGAATTTGGTTTGACACTGCTTTAGGTAGTATATCAGCGAAACACAAACTACAAATCCTAATCGAACCAACTTTCATCGGATTCTCGAACGACTTGGTACAGCGATTTGCAGCGCCTTACACTACTGGGCCACACGTGGACCGATCTCACACAAAGCTAGAGACATACTTTTATCACTACTTTAACACAGAGCCTGGACAAATCTTCATTGAAACAATTCCTCTCTCTTTGTGGGATGACTTTGTCGACATGGTCACATTCGCCCCGTTTGTAAAAGGTGAGTTTACGAGTGAGATAGGAAACGTACTCTTTTCGAACAGCTAATCATATTTTGTTTCCAGGCTGAATCTGGTCCAACTATTGGTCAGGCAAAGCTGTCTGGGAAAATGGGAGGACAGTCTTTCACGCACACGGTGACGTTTGACGTTAATAGAGACGCGGTGATAACGTCTGGAAAATTTCTTTACCGAATGGCGACTAAGTGCTTCATCAAGGAACTGGAGATGGCCGAGAAAGGTACTGAATTGTAACTTAGATGTTTACAGTAGATTGCGTTTGCCTATAATGTATTCAAACACTTTCATATCAGTGAGTATGGTTTTACGCCAATGCCGCGGCAACATATATGTACACTCTATTATCAAAAATCCCCGGGTCAAAATAGCCACCACAAGTTCGTTTGGAGTCTACTTCCAAAGACCCGACACGACAAAAGTAGGTATCCGATCAAATTATACGATATTTTCACAGGAACTCGGTAAAAGGGGAAGTATCGCTATCACAACGATTCGACTCGTGTTGTTATATACCGTCAAATACATCGGGTAACTCCAGGTAGCATGAGGACTTACCTCCCCGTCTTAATGAGTAAATACAACTTTCCAGCTGAAAGTTTGGTAGTTAAATCTTTTATTTGAACGAGACCACAATTTTGATAGTACAACTTTCGTTTAGAAAAGTCATTTTGACTTGTTGTCGAGTTCTCCAACGACAGAAATTCCGTGCTGTTTTAGCAACGACAATTCGGCGGTACATAAGTGCAGGGTATGCATGTCATTATGTAATGAGATATGATCATACTCTGGATATTCGAGGGTAATGAATTGATTACAGCTACCAACGCTACTAAGAAAAGGGAGATAATCGTGGCAAGTACAGCAGGAAACATCATTTCGAAGTACACAGCATTTGTTGGAGTGGACAAAGAAAAGAACGAGAAGATAGGACCATCTCTGATCAGCCACCACATGGCACCTCAAATGCCACGCATACCCGCTGCCCATCGAACAAGGTCAGTAATGATAGTCAGTATTCATTGCTGCACGTGTGGTGCAAGACAGTTTATTTGTGATGTTGTTACTCATTTCTGTAGGCGTCGCGCATGATGACTGTTTGTGATGTCGTCAGCATCATTGTTGTAATGTGTGATGCTTGATTGCCGCACATAAAATGCTTTCACAAATTATCGTGATACAAGCTTTGTTGATATCTTCCCGCCCCAGGTTGTGAAACGTTACTATCATTCATTGTCGTACATGTACTGCTGTCGTCATCTATTGCCGTACATGTTATGTCGTCATTTATGGATCCATATTACCCGTTGCTTGTCCTAAAAGCCAACTAATAATGATCGGTTCAATGTGTGAACTGGGGCTGTATTCATAAGGATTCCAATTGGATTCGAACAACTGTCGTACTCGTACACTTTCCCAGATTAGCAACATCCAGGGCCATATTCAGTCATTTACTTTTCTCAAGGAATGATCACATTGACACATCATTGAACGACGTCTCTCGCCACTGGTAAATGAGGAAGCCTCTAGGTGACTTCGGGTGATACTTCAGTCATTTTGCTTGAGATATATAAGGGCGTTCGTGTCCCATCTTTTGGACAACAAATAGCAAACTGTTTTATTTCAAGAAGCGATGTGGTGGGAGGGAGGGGGTATGGCTTTACGCCACTCCAGCAATAGCACGGCGGGGGACACCAGAAATGAGATTCACATGAACCCATGTCGGGAATCGAACCCGGGTCTTCGGCTTGGCGAGCGAACGCTTTAACCACTAGACTACCCGACCGCCCAACAAGCTATGTGAACACATTATTCCGACGTTATATTTTACTGCTGACATTTCCATCAACAGCTCGCTGTTTCAATGCTCAGCTGCCAGACGTTCTGTCCCTGGTGATGATGACGACGACGATGATGATGAGTATTATGACGATTTGGATGACTTCGAGGAAAAAGCATGTTTAAAATCAAATGAGAAGATTCGAAATCATCCACAAGCACCACCAAACCGTAGTGGTGCACCACCACCACCACCACCACCACCACATGCACTACCACCAGCACGTTCCTTACGTGCACCACAACCACCACTACCACCACCACCACCACCCCCAGAACAACAATCATCATGTCGTTCCGACAATGGTGACATTTTGGGCTTAATAGGTCTCCACCTACCACCACCACCAGCGCCGCCATTATCATCATCACAGGGCTTCAGTTCATCAAGTAAGTGTTCACCAGCTCTGACTCAACTTGAATCAACCCGGTCCACATGAACAATTATTCAGCATTACCTGCGAACACATTAAATGGTATTGTATCAGCTAAATTTTTCGCGTCCCTCTGCATCACACTGTTAACAATACTATAGTTTCCATCAGCTCATAAAAAGGACACCACCACCTACAACCGCTACTGCACTTAAAAACATACGGATATACTTCAACCAGGGCTCTAATCAATAATGCAGCTTTTATCAAAATGGTAATGTCTACAACGTAATTCACTTCGGACTTTCCTATCAAATTAATCTGTTACGATGTTATCAATTTCTATTCAGTGCGGCTTTAATCCAAACTCACTCATCACTGTAGAACCTCTTTCGAAATGATCAAGCGTGAATTATATATGCACATGTACATGCAGCTCCTTGATCCTCTAGCTCTGTATTGCCACTGTAGTATCAGGTATCTCTCATATCATGGATGTGGCTCTGTCTGCAGCTACAGGGAGTAGTCTGGTGAAGCTGCAGGAGTTTGATGGATCCTGGTCACTCACAGAGGATCTGGCTGCTGTACTCCATATCAGCATGGAAACCATACAGAAAGATTCCAGACAGAAGGTTAGTAGCAACTCTTAAAGAGTATGTATGTAGTTTTTCGTCAAAGGAGTATTTGAAATAGTTTGGATAGGGATTTGTTCAATGCAATGTCATTGGAATGTCACCAGTTAAGAGTTCAGTGTTTAGAAGAGAAAGTAGGTAGATTAAACAAAGAATAATACGATTTTGAATCAGGCGTTTTAGGTAAATGTATTTATTCCTAAATAAAGCCTATTAACGGTATATTCCAGAAGGACAACGTCTGGATCACCGCCCTTGCGATTTGTTGGTTCACCTTGAAATGTCCAGATGAACGGTCAGTGTGGGAGATGGTGGTCGACAAGGCCAGAGACTGGCTGGTCGGGCAGCTAGGAGGACAGGAGGAGGTGGACAAGCTTCTCATGGAGGTTCAGCAAGCTGTCTTTCCAGATTCTATCAAGGACACCATTAAATAACATCTTTTGATAAAGCAACACAATGTTGCATGTGAAGGACAAAAATACCGGAACATGGTTCAGATTAAGTTTGATTTCTTCTTATGGAATAGATACCTGTTGTCAGAGAAATCTTATCTATCATTGTTTTAACTACGGCTCAGATAATGTAGAAGTTCTTTTCCCTGTTATAGACACTGTAAAATGATAAATAACTGTGGCATGAACTTGATCGACAAGTTTCATTGGGCCAGTGAGTTACTTATTTTCGTTGTATCTTCAGGAGAAAAGCAAGTCCTAGGACGTTTGATTCAAGTTGTTCAAACACCATATTTGTTTTACACTGTCCCAGCTTCAAGTGGCAATAATTTACACTTATACATCCTTATACAGGATGGGGCAACATTGCATGGAGAACCAAAGCTGTGATGACTTTCTTGTTAAAAGTTTCAAATGAGTGTGCCTTGGATGAAAGAGTAAAACACCACTGTTTATATACAAAAAGCATGTTTACATAAGTTTTGTTTGATTGGGCGTGATATGCACGATGTATATATCGCACGGACTGCCTTATACTGAATACAGGTTGGTTAGGTGTTGCGTCTTCATTGCTGATGCGTGAGTGAACGAGTGACAGAGTGAGTCGTGTTTAAAGCCGCATTCAGCTACATCACAGCCTACATCATCAACCTATTATCGTTTCAAATGCAAGATATAGTCACTTCTACCTCGAATGGGCAATTGTTAGAAGAATATTATACAATAAAGTTTTAAAACACTGTACTGTAGTATGTTCTTCCATCCGTCGTGTCATATTATTCGTGTAATATCTAATTGATTAATTTAGAGGTTGATCCAACTACCAGTGTGAATATTATCGTTGTTGAAGTGGTTCGAAATTGTTGTGTTCACTTGTTGCATTAGATTTTGAGAATATATGGGGGTGATTACAATGATCAAACTGTTCTACACTTACGAATAATTTGCAGAACGTGTTTTAGATATTATACTTGGGCCTGCTTGTGTTTGATAAGCGTCATACATGTAAGTGTTTAAGTACGCTGAACCGTGAACACGATAGCAGACATGTGGAGGACCATTCCAATATTTGGCGCATCAGTGACAAAGATTATGTCCAAAGCAGTTCCCTATTTTACCTTAGTACTATTTGTTCCCGTGTTGTCACTGGTGAAGCAGTATATGCTCACCATCCGGGAACACTTGATATCATCATTATTTGATAGTGATTCCTTAACACATGTAATTGGAATTATGGACTCTTATTTTAGCAGATTTTTTATAATTATGGAATGAATAATTCTTTAAATGGCGTGGTACCAAAACGAAGATCTTGCTGTACTTCTATGAAAAATATGTCTGGAAATCGGAAATTATTATGACTTACAAGGGCAAGTGTGAAAGCCTATTATTATGGAAAGGGATTCAAACCTAGAATAATTATCTGAAATCAAACATGTTCAGTTCCACGTCACATTCTTGAAGTATTTATCGCCTGGTTATTTCAGAAATGAGTTTAAATAGTTCTCTGTGGTGATCAGGGTCAACCCCCATCTATCAAAGATGAAATGTTACATAACTGGTTAACAGATCATCTAGAATATAACACCGAAGTCCAAGAAGATACAGAGCAAAGGATGAGGACTTGAAAGCTATGAATATATGCATGAAGTCAGATGAAGTTCAATGTCATGAGATGAGAAAGGTTTTACCGAGTTGTATTGCATGGAATTACTTTGTACCCAAATGGGTACCCCTTATTCTTACTATTAGGCAGAAGGTACCTGACAAAACACAAGACCAACTTTATCCTCTTCACAAAACACGGTCTAAGATCAAAGAGTATTGCTACTCGATAACTTCCTAAAATGGTCTAATCTTCCATGTCTTGCTGTATCCAGGGTAAAATACTTATCAGTTACAGCACTAAATACACCTGACGTACCCAAACAAGATGTCAGAAAAATAATTCAGAAAAAATGTGGTGAAAAAGTGACAGGATCAACGAAAAGGTAGGAAGTTTGACCTCACTGTTCACTCCTTCAACTAAGAGATAACCAGCATAACCACTGCGCTGCATGTACTATAGAAATGTTATGTAGCTACCAGCTGTCAGATACACATCAGTGTAGATAAATTAGATGACACTTAAGGGCACTGTAAGGGCAATATATGTGTCGCAGGAACAACAAAATGAATCATGCTCTGGGCTTATATTTATGAATATAACAAACGAAATAATATGTGGCAGCTAGATTGTCCAGCATGGTGTGTCTCATCCATTATTAATCTCATATATCAATAATTCAACATGTAACTTTGGAAGTAGCCACCAACTTGTACGAGTATATCAAGCAACTGTAAATGTAAAATACCAACATGGCACCAAATCTCACTCAACATATACAAGTGAATATAACAAATTAAGATAAAACAATTAATATTATTATATCACAATTCAGCATTCACTCAACTCTCACTCAACATACCTATGGATATAACATACAAAATGTTATGGGGCAGCTAGATTGTAGCTTTCACAGAGGACAGTCTTGTGACCTGCCTATTACAGCAACTTCAGGGATTGCTTGTGCCAGGGCCCAGTGTGTGGATCAAGATTCGTAGATCTGTGTATATCCATATTCTCCTTGTATTGTCAACACTGACGTCATTGGACATCTGAGAAGCAGTATTATCTGTCTCACTGGAAGATGATGTGACGGAAACCCCATGAACACTCCCAACAGAGAAAACTACCACAATCACTATTGTCCTTCGTCGAGGGTTGGGCGGATTCGTTACCTCATGTTTACTTGGTCGACTTTGCCTTGGTTCTTGCTCACGCGGAACTGGAAGAGACATGTAAGGAAGCAGTATATTTCCGTGCAAAGATTTTGTGGAGCCTTTTCTATCTTCTCTCTTGATGATGTAGACCATCTTGGAATGTCTTTGTTGGGCTGGTGAAGAATAACATAAGACTCACAAGACCAAACATCTGCTAACTTATGTTTTCCCTTAAGAATCCTGTCCCCTTTCAGAAACAACAGCTTACCTCACTCTTCTTGTGCCGACTGGCAGCCTTTCCTGATTCGGTAGAAGCAGCCTTGTAAGCAAAATTCAACCTTTACTCCCATTGTGACACACAATCTGTGTCAGAACTTCGCTGTTGTGGTAACCATCTGTTTTTTTGGTAGGGATAGCCTGTGCAAACCTAGTAAAAAGGTCAGTGATAACTAGGAAATTACCACTCTTGTGAGAGATAATATTTACAAACTAGCTCCATGAGTGGTCACATTAACTAATGGAACAGCAACTTAGTTTTGCGATTTTTTGCGTCTGATGCATCTGCCAAAACACTGTACCTTTCTATCCACATCACTGGTTAAACCTCTTGTAGGATCATGATTATACTGAATTATCCAATGTTCTATGGCGTCCTTGGTTACCCATATCCAGCAATGCGTCAAGAACAAGCTTTTGCCGTTGTTATGGTGAGACAAGTTGATGTGCTTAACTGATTTTATGCCACCTCTTCCTGTAGTGAACACCAACTCTCAAAACAAACTTTGACCATTGTCACAAAAGATTACAAACATCAGTTTCCTCAGACGTGAGGTAGGTTTTCCCTCATTCAAAACAAAACAATTTACACTTAGGATGCTTGTCGAATTTACCTGCATGGTAGATAACCTTGAAATCATAAGTGGACAAAGCAGCTAGCCAGCTATGACAGTTGTCATAATCGTTCTTACTTTAAAACAACTTCCATACAGATAATGGAATTTGTCACACACAGCCCATTAAAGTACCAAGGATTCTAACTTGGAGCCGGGTAATTCCTTCAAGTTTTCCTTAGAGCCCTATTGGCGTATGTTATCTCACGTTCCCTCCTATCCTGAACATGATAAAGTTTTGCACCTAGGCCTTCCATACTTGCATCTATGTTAAGGATAAGAGGTTTAGTGTAGTCTGCATATGTTAGCACTGGAGGTGATGTAAGACACTCAATCAGTGTATCAAAATATTTTTGCTCATCGCAATTCCAAGTCCACATCTCCTTTTGTTTTGCCCTTCTATTCTGGCGATTCCAAAGAAGCAAATCCGTCAAAGTTTCTGCTTTCCTGGCATAATTCTTGACAAATCTATGGTAGTAACCATTGGAAACCAAAAACTATCTCTGGATCTGTCTATACACCCTGTAACAACACAATATGTCCAAGACCTTATTGCTGAAAAGCTCACATTTTCAAGGTTTTATCTTTAGGCCATGTTCTTGTCACAAAAGTTTACAAACATTAGTCTCCTGAGACGTATGGTAGGTTTTCTCCCAATCAGCATGATTAAAAGGGACGTTGCTTTCCTCTATAGCTGGACATGCAGTCAAATGCTGGGGGTATCCTGTGGTGTGGCTTCTTAAATGGTTTGGCATCTGTACGGTTAATTTCATATGGAAGTGTTGTTGTATGTTGTATGTTGTGCCTTGAACTCGTACTTCCACTACCCTTGACAGATAACCTACCCTTGAAGTGAACTGCCATTCTCTAACCGTTCTGTAACGCCAGTCATTCTGCCTGACTGGGTATGGACAGTGCCTATCAATGAAGCAACAGCCAAGGCCTCAGTGAGTGAGTTGAAATTGAACGTCGCATCAGTATTATTTGAGCGAAGAGAACAAGTTGACATGTACACAATTTAGTCATGAATACAAAGTTATATTTAAAAACGAATTTTTGAAACATATTTGGGCATAACAATATTAACTAGAGAAAGTTGAACCTTCAAGTTTCAGTGTAAGTTCTCTTCTCAACATCCAATTCAACTTCACACTCAAGACAGTGGCTAATAATTTTAATCTTGGAATACTGATACTCTTAATGGGTGCTAGTCTTGACTTTCCCATTAGAAAGGACACATGAACCTCTCCGACTGAATCCTCTTCGATGCAGCAGCTCGCAGAGCTCGTTTACTAAGTTGTTGGCCTTGTTATTTGAGGAAATGACTTGAGGCAGTCATCAACATAGAAGTTTTCATTCACTGTCTGAATTGTTTCTCCGCCAAAATATGTCAGTCTTTCAAAGATCATAATAAGTACAACTGGGACTTTATACACCTCCAAATAAGTGGGAAGTCATTCTATATCATTCTGATTCCATGTTCACGTTACAATCTGTCCACCAGAGAAATATAAAAAACATTTTAATGTTCTTCAAGAACCTTTACTTGGTGGAACATTGCTTCATTATCCGCTATAATCGCAATCTTCTATTCTCTAAACCGAAGAAGAACACCTATGAGGGTGTTTGTAAGATTGGGACCCTGCAAAACTTCACTATATAGATTTGTCTGACCATACTTAGCTGAACAGTCAAGGATGATTTCTTTTCCTGGTTTCTTTTCACTAAGCACAGCATGATGTGAAAGATATCATGACGATCCTTCAGGACTGTTTCAGAAAACCTTTCTGCATTACCTTTATCTATCAGATCCCGAATTCCTGTCTTGTAGTGCTAATACTTAAATCATCATTTATCAACTTCCTTCAAGTGTTTCTTGGTGGGATTCGGCAACACTATAGGTGTTGGGCAAGTTTGAGGGCATTCTCTTAAAGGGAATTGGCATGTTGTTGTGAATATTCTCCTTTTTTACTGACTTATCCCACAGGACCCGGTTGTATCAAAGCCTCATTAACTAATGGCTACATTAAACCCAAATGATACATTAAATTCTTAATGCACCATAAGTTAATGGCATCATTAAAATCAG